GCATAGTCTGAAGGCAAAGTGTCTCCTTACAGCCAAGGGTACAGAAGGCCCTTCTGGGAAATCCAGAGGTGGATTTAAGCGTTGGAGTGGAGATTCCACAGGCCTTATCTCTGCCTGGGTTTTTATATAGGCAAATCTGCACCTCCTCCTCTCTCTCAGGTGCCTTGACCATAGTCACATGTATCATGCCTCTTATGCATTCAGTGTATTTCAGTTTCTCACCTCTTACAGGGTCTATTTTGAAAAGTACATGTAGTTGTCTGCTTTCTTTGGTCGCATCGGCCCAAGCAGTCTGCTGCTCCCTTAGTTCTGTCTCCAATATACCCATGTGATGATTCTGCTAGGTCTCTGACAGCACTGCCCATATGACCATAACAAAATGTTGTACTGGCTCCTTGATGATCCATGCTATGCCCTTGTGAAAAGGCTACTTATCAGTCACTGTAACTGCATATTACTAGATACATGCAGGATTTCCTTACTGTAGTTGATACTTCCCTCTGGATCACTGAGGTTGTGCTGATGGGACTGGAAGTAGGGCTTAGCCAGTGGAGTGAAAGTCTCTGTAGATAAGGTGCTTAACCCTACAAAAGGCGAGTCCTTTGCTAAGTATAAAGAACACAAGAGGCCAGAAGAAAATTATGGGAGGTAGAAGAAAATGTTTTGTTTTTCTCTCCAAATCCTTTTCCTTCTCCTCTTGTCTTGTCTTAGATCCAGCCTGCTAGGCAAAGGATGGTTACTTCTGCCATTATTAGTTTGTATGACCAATTTTTGGGTCAGAAACTAAGGTATAACTGAGTAGCAGGGGTGATTTGGCTCTTAGGGTATTGGAAAGAAATGATGTGGCATCTTGCCAGCTGGTTTCAGATTTTAAATGAAGTGTAATTAAGAAGTTCACAGGTGCTTTATCTGATGATCCCTAACGGGAATGGCTACTTATTTCTTTATTGTTAACTGTAACATTTTTTGTGTGATGTTTCTTGTGTCTCAGTTGCAGGTGTACAGGATTTTTTTAAAAACTGAGATGCGTTTTTTGCCTGTTAGATGTTTGTGGGGCTAGGTTGCTAGTGAAGGAATGTTGTGTGTTGGGGTTTTTTTGTTTGAAGTGCATACTCCCTTCCCCCTCATTTCCCCCACCCCCCAGCATGACAGTAGCAGTGTTTTGAGCTTCAGTTATGAAATTTGTTGTTTCGAATACAGTGCCTCCCTCCCCTCCCCCCCAGCTGCTTATTCTGAGATTTGGGTTTCCTGGCATGATAGAGTAGAGTGGGGGGCAAGGAGGGCAATCATTTCACTTCTGACATAGTAAAGTGTTCTGCATTGTGCTATCGCAGTCCTTGCTGCTGGTGAACCTAAAACTAAGGGTGAAAATCCTCAACGACTGTAGTACATGGGAAGTCTGTGTATTGATTTATACATTGGGTGACCATTAGGGTTATTATATGTCTGGGTTTTCCCAGACATGCCCTCTTTGGGGACATGGGGTCCTTTCATCTTTGTCCAGGTTTTTTTTTTTTTTTTTTTAAATATCAACAACTGTCTGGGATTGATGCCAAGCAGAGCAAAAAGTTTTTCCTGGCACTTCCTGGTTTGGCCTAGCAAGCAGCTACTTGGAGTTGGGGGGAGCAGGGAGAGGGCATTTGGAGGTAGGGTGCATCCTGTGCTCTGCATGTGCACATACCTGTGGCTGGCACACAGCCAGGCTGGGCGGTGGGAACAGCCCTGGCAGCTAGATGCAGGTAAGTCTATGGGGGCAGGGGTTGGAGGGCCAGGACTGTCCAG